TGAACTGGAACTTTGAGATTTCGGATCTACTCCCTCCACGTAACAAGATCGAAACCTTATTTTAGCAAACTAAATAGAGACAGATTTATAGAAAAGAAGAGAATTGCTTATTGACTCGATTTTTAGTGTTCTAACTATTTTTTTTCGAGGATTCCAAGATGGATCTTTGGCTGGAGGGTTTAGGAGTATTTATAGGAGAAAACTAGGGTTTTGGGATTTGAAATTCAAAAGAAAAAGTAGAAGGGGATCACGAGTTGGGCCTTTGATTTTCAAAACGACCATTCATGAATGGTCCAAAGTGTAGCAGAAAAGCTCTGCAATCAATCGTTACTTTTCAGATTTTGAAGATCTTGTAAGAGGAGATGATTTTGAATTTTCATATGGTCAAAGGCAAAATTTTCCTTTCTCAACTAAATATTAGACCAAAAATCAATGGAAGAAGAAAGGAGAGAAGCGTTTTTACCCATGTGAATATTGATCCTTGTGATGTCTACTTCTCGTATCGATGTAAGAGTTGCACTAAAATGGCTAAACACTTCTGAATTGAGGTGAAAAAGGGTTTTTGAACTTTGCTCAAAAATGGAGGAGGTAAGGGTGCGGCTGGTTTGGAGGAGATTAGGGTTAGAGAGATTAGGAGACTTGGTTTTTAGTTACTTGGGTAGCTGAAGTTTGGTGATATGAAGGCTTTTGTTTGGGCCGAAAATCATAGCCTTTTCCTTCTTCAAATCAATTTAATTGGGCTCCATGTCTTCTTAATAATAAAATAATTTGGGCTTAATAAATATACTTTCCACATATATAATATTAGATATTAAAATAAATGGCTAACTTGATAATAGTCATGTTAATGGTAATATTAATAATTATGCTAATAATAATGACAATATTAATAGTAGTAGTAGTAATAATAATAACAATATAATAGGCATATAGATCATTTTAATTAAGTAGTTAATTTATATGAGTAAAATATAATAATGACAATAATAATAATAATAATAATAATAATAATAATAATTAGGTTAGGTTTGTGTTAAAAATGGTAAAATAATTATTCTTACGTTATTAGTGATATTAGAAGCTTAAAGAAATAGTTTGGAAGAAAGGAGGGACAAAATTGGATGTCAACAAGCGGACCGTAAAAAATCGATCCAGGATTGAGGGACCGATATGCGAGGCACATCTGGCTAAAGAAACTTCTTTTTTCTGTTCATATTATTTTGAACATGATGTGCCATGTTTGAGAAATAGGCCAAATCGGCATGATGATGGAGGTGTTAATGATCCTTTGGCACCACCATTTTCCATATTCAATCATCCAGGTAGAGGTCCGAAAGTTAGTTAAAGCGAAATTTGACTGAGATGGAGAAAAAATCCACTACAACACATGTATTGTTGAATTGTCCAGAGGTCCAACCTTATTATAAGTAAGTCTTAATTTATACTAAAGGCGATTATTACAAGATCAAAGTTATTTTAACTAATGAAAGTTATAATTTTGTCCGGCAGTTGCTTTATAGGTGTAAACGGGTATGATGCTATTTATCCAAGATTTTCAGAGTGTACAGAGTTTGTAAGTTCTATTTTGTGGCTACAAATTAAGTACATGTTTCTTTAAAATTCTAACTTTTCTTTAACTTTATATAGTTCATAATCCAGTGAATGGAATTAATGACCCATTTTTGCGTGATATAGCTTGGGACCTGACTATAATAAAGTAAGAATGATGTCTAAGTACATTGTCAATGGGTACAAGTTTCATACAGAAAAATGGTCTAACAATAAGAAAACCAATAATAGTGGGGTGTGGGTAAAAGGTGATGGAGATGTTGATTATTATGGTGTGCTTCAAGAGATTTTAGAACTAGAGTATTTCGGTTGGCCGAAAAAAAAATTGGTACTCTTTCGGTGTAAGTGGTATGATCCAACACCTACTAGAGGTACAAAAGTTCACCCTCAGGAGTCGTTTGGTGGGAAGTATTAGAAAAAATAATGCAAGCATTAGCTTTATGCATTACTAATACCTTGTTTGGTACATTTTTTCAACATGTCTTGTATTAGTTATATATCATACTTGGTATTATCCTATGTATAAGTAATGCATAGAAAACCATGGCATTAGTAATACCAAGGCTATTAATGCATGCATTAGTATGGATAAAGACAAAATTGTCCTTAAAGTCCCTTAATGCTAGAGAATATGGAGGGCACTTTTGTAAACAACTATTTTTTAAAAAAATTATACAATGCATTATAATTTTAATACACCACACCAAACAATAGATAAGAAATAATATTTGCATAATTAATGCTTGCATTACTAACATATGCATTACTAATACACCTTATTCCGCACTATTTTTATACACCCTACCAAACGACCCCTCAATATAAAATAGTTGAAATTAACCACACGAAGGAGTATGGATTCTATGATCCATTTATCATTGCACAAAATGTGAAACAAGTGTATTATGTTCCTTATCCTTTGTGCAAGAATAAGTCCACATGGCGGATAGTTATAAAAATAAAGCCCGTTGGTAGAGTAGAAGTTGAGAATGCATTAGAAGTCGCGTACCAGAATGATATTTCGAGTGTTCAAGAAAGTGTTGATGATGAATTAGTGGGTGAATTGCAGCATAGTGAAGGAATATGATCCTTCGGTCATTACTCGTAGAGAAAATCAGCATGATTTTGGGGAAGGAACATCCCGTACAAACATGGAGGAAGATCCCGCCGATGAACATGAAACAAGCGAGAAAGAATCATTTGATGAAAATGAAACAAGAAATGAGGAAGAATTGCTTGATGAAAATGAAACAAGCGATGAGGAAGAATTAAATAATGAATATCAATCAAGCGAAGAGGATTGACATGTTGGTTTTTATGTGTTTTCGTTATTCATTTAATTTAATAAGCTGAAGAATTTCTTTACATTTTTTATGTCTTTACATATTTTATCTAATGCTTTTAATATACTTATGTTACACAGATGGCGCCGGGTAAAAAAAAGAAACACGATTCCCGGCTTTCTCAGTACACTTCAGGTCCCACTACCTCGGCTGTGCCATTTATGGGTCCTCCTCATCCTCCTCCTCCTCCTCCGCCTCTTCAGCAGACTTCAGTGCCACCTGGCTTTTTCACTTCGCCCCCTTGTGATCCAGTTCGATATAAGCCTATCTCTAATTCCCAGAGCATGCACACTATACCATCTTCTTCGCCAGCTTATCGTACTAGTCAGCATGGTGGCTCCTTATCTATGCCTCCGTCATCATTCCCTCCATACCCAAGCTACCATGTTAGTCAGAATGGTGGTTCCGCATCTATGGCTCCATCTTCATCTCCATCATCATCCACTCCTAGTGTTTCTAGGCCGCATGTTGGAGACTCTACCATACCGTCATCCCCATCCATTGATACATCTACACCTGCTCCTGATGATACACAGACTCAGACTTTTGAAGAGATTGTATCATATGATTCCCTTCATAGACTGATTATCATTCCTGATGGGACTATTGGGTAAGAAATTACTTTATTATTCGTTTGAATTGTTGAATATATTTTTAACATATGTTAATTTTAATGCAGGTTTGTTCCCTCCAATGAACTATGAAGGTGGTTGTGGATTGTGTTAAAGCATTTTATCGAGATGCTTGGAGTAAATGGTCAGATATACCATATTTTTACAGAGATCAGATGTGGAATCAATTTAGGGTACAAAATCCATAAATTTTGTATTATTTATCAAACTGACCTTATTTCATCTAATGTTTTAAATAATTTGCAGACAAGGTGTGCATGGAGTGCCAAATATCATCAGCAAATAAGTCATAATTTCGAGAAAAAAGCTGCTGATCGGCTTAAAAATCTCCTTTATAAAGCTCGAGAGAAGGGCGAGAAGCCCGGTTGGATGCTAAAAGACTTTTGGGATAAACTTATTGTGATATGGGCTTCTGAAGAATTTAAGAAGAGGAGCAATGCTGCAAAGGCTACCCGAGCCTCCAATACGGGTGGCTCATTGCACACTGGGGGTTCAATTAGTATGGAGACCCATCGAAGGAGAATGGTAACTTTCTTATTATATTTGTTTTGATTTTAACTAGATGCAATTGAACTTTATCTAACTTAATTTTTTTTTTTTTGCAGGAAAAGGAAAAAGGGAGAGTTGTGACTTATGTTGAGGTCTTTGAGGACAAGCATTTGAAAAAGAAAAAGGATGGGACAACAGAATGGGTCGAGCCGCGTGCGCAAGAGTATATGTAAGATCCTTCTATTTCCTTTTTGTCTCTTCTTCTTTCTTCTTCTTCTTCTTTGATTTGTTAGGGTTGATGATTCTTTTAGTCATAAGACAAGGACCTTACACAATCTATGACTTCTATACTGTATTTTATATATGTTACAATTTACTTGAGGTTAATTAGCTCAATCAACATGTTGCTTTTCCTTTTGAACCAACTAGTGAAGAGTCAGTTCTTGATTTTGCTACAGGACTAAGCTCCTTTCCAAATCTTTAGTGATTGCTGATGCATATACTTCTCCCAGCATATACTCTCTTAAGATACCTGCTATTAAAATGAAAACGACACAATCCATTTTCTAACTACTGCCAGATATTTGATAAGGATATAGTAGTATTAAAAATGAGACAAAGCATGTTTCTTTAAGAGAGTTGTCTGTTTCATAGGTTGAAAAGTGTACGAAATGATGTACAGCAATAGCTGTATAAGAAAAAGTTCAGTGTTTCTTATGATGGATTTGACAAGAATATTTCTCTAGCAACGTAACCCTATTTGTCTGCTCATGTTATCCTTCAGGTATTAGTTGCTGACTTGCTGACTATGAAATTTTTGTACATGATAGTGAAGGTGTTGTGCGTTAGACTATTCAATTTTTTTTTACATGTGTATGGAATTTAATTAAATTTAGTGAATGTTTTCACCTTGTATGTGAGTTCTACAACGTTTATAGGTACTATTAATGTGTGAAAAGTCTTAGATAAAATAAATTTGCCTTGGTTTGCTGCAGGGCAAATTGATGAAGGGTTACATGGTGACTCTTTAAATTTGGATTTTGATTTTTGCAATAGGTTAATATATTGTTAGATTCTGATACAGTGAGCTTCAACTAAGTCTATTTTTTAAAATTTTAAAGAAATAGTCCATCCTTAGCTTGTATTGTAATATAATTTAAGTGTTGCAACTATAATATGCCAAATTATATCCAGCACAAGCAGTTTATAAGTATGTAAAGTTGTACTTTTGAAGCATTTTCAAGTCTTAGAATTGTATTGCACAACAAAGTGAAGCAATGTTGTCTTACCATCCATACTTTTCACATCAGAGAGCTTCCTTAGTGCAGTAAGCTTAAATACTTGTGCATTTCCTCTAGAAGTTCCAGCATTCATTCTATTCCCCGCTTTCAGAATGGGTTCCAAAAGTTTCAAGAATAATCTTTGAGTTTTAAGCTCCTTGCAAGCTAATTCCAGTGTCAGTAAGTACTCTTTCTGGTTCAGAATTTCAGCGCCATAATTTGCTCTAAAAAGCATGGCATTGAAACGAGTAAAGGCGGATGGAACAACTTTGAGGATATGGAAGAGGAAAGATTCAGCATCAGCTAGCCTTGTAGGGTCTCCTTCAAATGCAAGAATTTCTGATTCTTCTTCTTTTGTTGGGGATATTCTGCTCAGTTTCTCTAGAGTCTCTATCCAATTTTTACCTTGCACCATTTCCTTGTTTATGTGTGTGTTTGTATTTTTATAGATACATGCTTCATCAGAAAACTGTGAAACGTACATTTTAATTTCTTCAAGTATCGCTTTGACTCCATTTTAATTTCAGGAAGCCTATCAGCAACGTTTCGAGGAATGGCATCAAAGTCGACCCGATTCCGAGGATGGTACCTCAACCCAAGTGTCACTCAATGATGTAGCTTCAATATGGACGCAGGTGGTTAGTGGCGCAAAGAAAGGTAGAACCTACGGTCTTGGATCACAATATTCTGTAGGTCGTTCTACGACATTGTTGTCTGGTGATGCGAGTTATTCGCAAGATCACGAAGAGGTGGAAGCATTACGAAAAGAAGTTGAAGAATTGAAGGAGGAACGAAAAGAAGATCGCGCAAATTTTAACAAATTGCAGAGTCTAGTGGAGAAATTTATGAGCGGATGTCCATTTGCTCCTTCGAATGGCAACGATGGCGGGGATAATGAGTTTTAGTTTGTTATGGTTATTGATGTTTGAGACATTATTATTTGTTGTAGTTGGATGTTTAGACTTGGTAATATTTACACTTGACTATGATTGTAATATTTTAGACTAGATTGAATGGGGCCAGAATGTTTAACTCTTTTTGAATGTTTTAGTTACAAATATTTATGTTTTGCATTTTATGGATTTGATTAGTTGCAATGGTGGATTGATTAGTTAGCATGGTAGATTAATTGGTTGTTGTATATTTGAATTTGTAGGTGGTATTGCTTTAAAAGAGCTGGAATTTGGCAAAAAATTGCCAGTTTTCCGACTTATTTCCAACCATAATAGTCGCAAAATGCATCAAAATATTTCAAATTCAGAACATCTGTAACTACTGTAGTCGGAAATACGAATAATAAATAGTTTTAAATTAGATTTGCGACCACGGTAGTCAGAACAATAAATAATACATAATTTTAAATCAGATTTGCGACCACAGTAGTGGAAAAACTCAAATAAAATTAAATATTATTATAATTATATATAGTGTTTGCTACCGAAGTAGTGGGAAAGTTAATATAAAATTAAAATTTAATTTTACCCGTTTGCAACCGCGTCGGTCAGAAACTTACCGCATTTATTAGTCTTTTCTATTTTGCCTTAGCGACCGTTGTAGTCGCAAATTACGGACGGATTCGGTCGCAAATTATTTCAGACCAGCTATTTTGCGACTACGACTTTTCGGCTGAAAGTAGTCGGAAATTAGCATTTTCTGACCACTTTCTGATCGTTTTTGCAGTCGCAAAATAGCCATTTTCTAGTAGTGATAAACATGCAATAGCCATTTGCTTAATTGCCTTAATGTTGATTGATTGTTCTATAATTATATAGCCTATTCTCTATATCTTATGGTTTTGTTTGAAATATGGGTTCTGCCTACATTAATAGTATATATACTCAGATAATACCAAAACAAAGTGTTTCTACTTACACAACTGAGAAGGAAATGGATGCCCTTTGGTATAATTGGATAAAACACACCTCTCTGGTCGATAAAGTGGCTACTTTCATGTTCAAAAGGAATTACAAGCTTGATTTGATTGATTGAATAGTCAGAGTCGAATCCAGCATTTAGTCTTTTTATGTTCATTTGGAAGAGAACAGTTTGTTTATCCATTTGGAAGTATCCTCGGTCTCTCTTGACGCTTGCAGTGCAAATGGAATAGAAATCAAACAAACACGTTAGGATCGGGAACCTGGGCAGTACGGAATTTAGCCAAACAACGTTATAATGACAATAACAAAGATAATGCAAATTAATAATAACGCTAATTAAAGCAGATAAAGAAGGCACAAATTTAATGTGGCTCGGCCAAGGTGATCCACGTCCACAGCGGAACGGAGCAATTTTACTATACCAACAAGAGTACAAAATTAGAGTAAATACTCTAATTAGTCAATAACCCAGAGAGAATAACCTCACAAGATCACTCCAAAGAAAAGGATCATACAAATGTCTTTCTATACTCAACTCTCTTATAAAATACTCTCAATACAGAAGGAGAGAAAGACGAGAGAATAAAGACTCTTGAATTGTTGGTGTGTTTAGAAAAGGAGAGCAGCAGCAATATTTATAGGAGAAATTTGAATTAAGTCTTGCTGTGAGCACGTGATTTTTGCCCCGCTTGAACTATTCCTATAAAATTCTTAAAATTAGGATTTTTCTTTATTATGTGAATTTAGGGAATTAATTGCATAACTTTATGTTTTGTTTGCATTTTTGTGTGCATGATAATCCATAAAAATACAAAAATAGCATACTTGCATTTAGGACCCAATTTTACATTTTATTTTAGTTCCACTAATTAATTAACATTACAAGAAAATAGAAGAAAATATCAAAAATGATCCTCTTTGCATTCTTATTTTTTGATTTCGATTTTTCTTAGTTTTCTTTTAGGATTTAGTTCATTTTAGAAAAATAATTAGTTTAGTTTTGGAGTTAAATCAGGTTTTAATTTTGTTGTCAACAAAATCTGAAAATAAAAAAAAAAGAGAAGAAAAAAAAGAAAAGAAAATGAAAAGAAAAGAAAAGGTCTTAATAAGAGACCCCATTTTTTGGACCCAGCCCAAACCAAACCCAGCCAACCCACCAAACACCCGGTCTTGATCCAGTCCAAAACCAATACCCGGTCCAGCTTTTGTTATATCAAAACGACGTCGTTTCTTAATCTTTTAATCGTGACCGTTGGATCTCATCAATCCAACGGTCCGGAACTAACTAGGATGTTTAATATAAAAGTGTCTTAATAGACCCCCTACCCCTCAATCATCTCTCAGAACCCCTTAATACCCGCCGGCGTAACGCCACCGCCTTTCGCCGTCCGCCGCCGGCCGAAAATCGCCTCCGCCGGCGGCAATTCTCCGATGACTCCCAAAAATACACCATAGCACCTCCTTCTCCTCCTCGTTCCAAACCCAAGTCCAGTTTTCTTCAAATCCTATCTAAACTCGTTGAATAATCGGATCAGTGGTCGCCGCCTCCGCCATGTCCGGCGGTGCCACCTCCAAACCTTACCAAATTAACACCCTAGAGTCTCCTTACCCTTCCCTTTCCGAATCCACCTTCAGTAGCCTTCAAATATCTCCCCATGGGTTCGAATTTTAAATCGAAGTTTGGCCTCAAACCCTAGTTTCATGAATTGGGGGTTCTCTGATGGCTTGACCATTATAGTGTTTAGCCGTGTGTTTTCTCATGAAAACACACGATTAAACACTAGTTTGGTCAAGAAATTTCAATCTGATTTTGCCCAGGCCAAGTCTTAATTCCGGTAATTCTTTTCTCTTTTATTTTTCTTTTTTATTTTATTACTTTTTCCTATCTGTTCTTAGTATTTACTTTCTAGTTTTCTTAGATTTCTTTTGTTAAGCTTAGTTTTTGTCCTTTGATCCATTTTTGTTTCTTATTCGAGTACTGATTCAGGACTCAGTAATTCAATGTGTGATTGACTCTGTTTGTCTCCATGATTGCCTGTTCGATGGATGATGGCCTGTAGTTTGCTAATTTGAACCATTAGAGACTAACTTAGGATTAAAATTAGGTTTAATTTAATTTTTGAAGTTTTTGATTTAACTGAAGTATTGTTTGATTACTACTGAAGTGTTAGGGTCTTTGATTGATTAAACATAGTCAATTCTGACCAAGATAGAAGGGGTTGGTTTTAGTTAACATAAGTTAGTAATTCAGGGGTAAATACAGGGCTTGTAAGGGTTAGTTTAGGAATTGTAGACTAGGGAATCTTTAACAACTGAATTGAGAAGCCCCTAGAAGCTTCTAGGTTGGGGTTTGAACAACATTTTAACTTCTTAGTAACATTACTTGGGCAATAAGTCAGTCTTTCAAGGACTTATAAGCTAAAAACTGAAAATTAAAAGAGGGACCTAGGGTGTAAATGAAAATTTGAAGGTTGCCCTAGATTTTGCCTATAAAAAGGCATACCCCTTGCCTTGCAAGGCAAGTTTTGAAGTTTAGAAAGTTTGGAGAGATTTAAAAAATCTGAAAAGTTTTGAGAGGGAAAATCTGAGAAAGTTAGAAGTGTAAAAGAGTTTCAGATCTGGAAAATTTCAAAATTTAAAAAAAAAATTGAGAAGCCTAGTGAGATCAAATATTGAAAAATCCAAAAAGATTAGTCTTAGAAATACCGCAAAGTCCTGAAGCTTTCAGGCAGCCAAAAACTCCAAAAATACTATTCCATTGAAGTTTTCTTAGGATAATTTTCAGTTCCAGCTTTTGAATCAAATTTCTAGCTTATATAAGGTTTAAAATGACTTGAATTGTCCTGGTAATTCAGTAGCGAGGTTTCAGGAGCTCCTGGGTTAATTGTTGAGTTTCAATTTGGTCTTTCAAGCTGTTTTTGTGTTGTTCATTGGTGTTACTTGAGTAAAATCACTGCCTGGGTTACTTGATAGCATTTCCTGGGTGGAATTACTTCAAAACTGCTGTTAATTGTTGTTTACTGCTGCTGATCCTTCCATCTTCTTGCTTTCAATACATTTCCAGGTACACACCTCTTAAAATTCCTTATGTACTGCTGAAAATGCTGATTTGAACAAGGAATGAGAAGATTCAAATATATCTTATGTTCATGTATTTGTATATGTTTACTGTGTGTTTAAAATGTTGTTCTACTTAGTAATCCCCTCTAGTCGTATAATAGGTTGTACTGGACAGGACACCTGTATGATTTGCATATGAACACAACTAAGTAGATCTAGTAGTCCTTTAGATTGATATTAGAATTTTGGCTATGATCCTGGTTTGTGATTTGAACATTGAAGTCGTTCAAGTAGACTGAAAATTGGTCATTTGCTTAAGTCCAGGAATGTCGGATCCTCATTTGAATGGCTGGTGATATGCAATCTATTTCTCTCATTTAAAATCGGTAGATCAATGAGTTTTGTTTGGATTTGTTTGTGAAATAAGGGTCACTTGTAAGTGAGTAAAACATCCAGGTTTTTTTTTTCCATATTCTGAATCTGTTGCTAATCTAGGCTGTCCAATTGTTGATAGTTGAAAACAAAGCAAAAGAGTTAGCCTATAAATTAGATTATTATTATTTGACGTTAAAATTGGTTAAATTGATAAGTCAAGACTCAATTAATGTTGGTTTAGTTAGTTTACTGTCTATACCATTGGGCCATAAAGAATTGGGTTCAATATGGCCCAGCTGCATAATACTAGGCCAAGTAGTTTCAGCCTTGTAATTAATATTACCCAATTAGGCCCATGGGACTTGATCTCGAGTTCCAGGTCTTGCTGGATGTTGATTTGGGCCTGCCCTAAGGCCCAGGCTCTAGACAACTGTACAAACAGCTTTGAAAAATAAAATCGGACAGTCTCATTTCCATGGGCTGGCTTCGAGGCCCAGCACAATGAAAAGCCCCATCTTGCTTATTGAAGCTATTAGATTTAAGGATTTTAAAATTTGAATTATAGTTTGGGCCTTTCAAGTTAAGTAGCAAGCTCAAATTAAAGGGGTTTTCAATGATGGAGATTCTTTTGTTTGAGTTTGGACTTGAACTTGAAGCCCGATTTCGTTTGGATACTTTTAATAGTAGTTTATTAATAATGTTAATTAATTAGGCCTTTAGAGA